TTTCTACAAAATTTAAATTAAACAGGAAAAGATACAAAAGGCGGCACTCTGGTCAGAAAAGGAATTGTTGGCGATTGGAAAAATCACTTTAACGAAGAACAAATACGATTGTTAAATGAAAAAATTGTGGAAAGAACAAAAGACAGTGACGTCATGAATTTATGGAAAGACATTTTTGAAAATAATTAAATATGAAATACAATGACTTTTATTACATTTATAAAATTAATTCCGAAATTCTATTGTAAAGCTTATACCATTAATAATAATAATGTTATAGAATTACAAAAGATTTTTCAAATGAACTTTCTCTTGCAATATAAAATTGCTACTCGCTGTAAATTGTAACTATATTTCATTGAAATTATATCTTATGTAATTTCGAAATAAAATGTACATATTTTTATACACTAAATATTGTATATAAATAATGAAAATTTTTAAATTGAAATGTTCTAAAATATTGATATTTTTTTAATTTACAGAATATTCTTGCATCTAAAATGCATTGATTATAATTATAATATACCAGATCAACTTTATTGTATTTCTGATAATTATTCGTGGTAAATGTGATAAAGTTTATCTATAGTTTATTAAAAAATATACAAACTTAAATATTAATTTAATCAATATTATTACATTAACAAATAAAATTTATCAAAGGTTACGCTTTTATTTCGTATCTGTAACAATGGGTTAATTGTTTACGTTCATACACAGTGGGTGATCGGTTAATTAATAAACATTAAGATTAAGAATGTAAAACGATCGGGAAATCCAGAATCAAGGTTTGAAAGAAACGTGAAGATTTTCCTCTTATATGTGGATGAACCCGCTTTTATTACGTATTATAAAACAATATTGTAATTTTATTTGGGTTGAAGTTAATATTGCAACACTACCCTCAAAGAAATTACAACTAATTCCCTTTTACTCAAAGAACTATCCTGTCCTGTCACTTCGGATCGCCATTTTACGAAAGTGCTTTCTTTGGCCGACACCACGATTGGAGAATTGTTTGTTAAGTTATGGCAACGAAACACTTGGGCGGTCTGCCTAGGCGATGCCTCCGGGAGGTCTTTTTAAGGGAAACGCGTCCCTATTTAGGCGATACAGACGTGGAGAAACTTGATGTGGCAAGATCGTTTGAGTGAAACGCGAATTCACCACTGAACTCCCAGTGTTCGGGGTACCGATCTCTAGGCCAGCGGTGGGCGAACGGGAGAAAAAAAAGGTAAATCAGAAGATGCACTTTTTCACGCTTCTCTTAATGGGCATATCTTGTGAATGATTAAATTCCATATTTAATACTAAGTGGGTTAGTCAAATGATGCAACGAAGCGAACATATATTAACGTTAACCGATTTTTGAATTCATTTCTATAAAAGAAAAAAACAAGTAATGAGTTGCTTAACTTTTCCGGCGACATTTGCTGAAGCCATCCGTTATCATGGAAATGAATTAATAGGATATTTTCTTCTTTATTACCGCAGTAACTACAAATCATATCGCTCGGACAGGTCGTGATAACCACGCACCCGATGGTAGTTGCAAGCCTTAACATCCGAAAGACACGATTTAAAAAATTATTCTCACATTTTACAAGATATTTTTAATTTAATGTGATTCCATGTTATTTTGTGTTTATTTTTACGTGATAAACACAAAGTAATATATTTTAATGTAAACGTAAAAAAACAATCGACTACGTTAATTACTGCAAAAAAGTGCAGAAAAGTTTTCTTCTGCATTTGTTGATAGTAGTTAAATCACAATATCTTAACAAGTAAAACTAATAAAATCCAAAAATAAGATTTAAAAAAAACCAATTTATTTTTTAAGAAAAACTTAAAGTAATTAATAAGTGATTGTTATCAATAACAAATATTAATGTGAAACAATGATGGGTATTTTTTTGTAATAATTAACTAATATAAACAATAAAATAGAGTGGTTGAAATTACGGGATTATCTCAATTTATTCCTTAAATTTAGTAAATATTTATCGGATTTATTAAATTCATTTATATATTCACTCGGTTATCGTATAAAATATAAAAGTTTCGTACTTATTTCCGTTGAAAAATTGAACTTTTACTTGAAAGGATTTCACGTAAAAGGTTCATCTCATTCTCTAAATTTAATAATATGGTTGTCAAGATTTTCCTTTTACTAACAAAAGTTTTACTTACATAAGTCTATGTTTACGCCTTTTTATATCGCACAAAACTGCAAATTATTCTACCGTCACTTGCAGAAACTTGTAAATTATAAAACTTTGAATTGAAGCTGCAAATTTGCTATCCAATCCGAATGCTTAAAAGTACCGGCATAATTGTTTCCGGACCTTCCAAGAATTTTCAAAGTTCTGTAACTTCAAACTATCGCACTTGGTCATACACTCCAGACACGAAACAAAAGATAACTCTCCAAATTTGAAGCACACTTACGACTATTTCCTTGCCACACATCAAGTGGCATTCGATGTTCGTTGTCAAAATTATGGCTACGAAACAAAAGACTTTCCTATTACTTTCTTTACAGAAGAATGGAGCTTCTGAGGTATAGAACATACTGAAGTGCGTCGGTACTCGAACGCTGAACTCCCCCACCGTTAGAAGGGACGTTGCATCAACGATGCTCTGTATCGATGCTTGCCACGCGTTCAGACCACTCGCCGTGTGAATTCTCTTCTGTTGGAGTATCTAAAGAACACGGTTTATGTGCCACCATTAACCACGTCTATGGCAAAGCTCCGGGACCTCATTACGTCTGCAATTACGATCATCCAGCCAATGCGTGAGGAGAACTAGAAATTGCGTAGACATGCGACTAAAAAAGGAACACATATAGAACAGCTTTATTCGTGTAACAAACTACGATTGCTTCTAAATCTTTTCATGAAAATATATTTTGTATACGCTTCGGACGAAATTGTTTTCAGCGGGAATTCCTTTATTGTATAAAGTAGAAGAGCAAATTGAAAAAGTTGAAAAATAGTCACGAATATACGCTAAATTTCCCAGTTATCACCTTGATCTACACTATAATCAATAGAGAGGTTGCGGCCGTCGTTTTCATCGCGAATTGAAACGTAGAGCATGATTCTACTGACGTTCCAAACGCCATCGTCAAACTTTTAGGCTTACATGAAGGCGGCGCTGAACGTCCGACGTACACGTTTTCGCGATGAAAACGTCGGCCGCAACCTGTCTATTAACTGAAATTTTTAAACGACGAGAATAATAGACGGAAAGATAATAACAGATAATGAATGTCGATGGACGTTTCGATTAGCAATAAATAATTACGCGTATTGGATACTAAGAATTATTCAATTGGGAATATGCGATATACACTCGAGATTAAATTATGTTGAGGAAATTACGTAACCTTAGCGAGTGACGTCGATGTTTTTTGACTTTTCCCTTTTGAATGTCAGGTGGAGCCACAAGTTTTTTTTTTTTTTAAATTTGTAACAGCCGACTTAACCGCCAATTTGATTAAATTTGGAAAAGATTCGGGATTCGTGCGTTATAAAAAGGGGAAAATTCAGTTTTTTTTTTAATTAAGAAAGGAAGGAGATTTATTGCAAGGAAGAAAAATGCCGACAACGATAATGTTGAATTTATAAGGTGAGACGAACGTTTCAATTGGAATCTTCGAGTAAATACTTAAACAGATTAAATAATAAGGATATTTTTAAGATTTAATCCGATAAAGCAGTGAAAATATAAACGGGTTCCGTGAAATTAATGAATATTTTATTATATTTATAGAGGGACACAATTTCCTTTATTTCCGTAGCACGTGGAAAAGCTGTACTGAAAGGTTTTCAATTGCTTTTTGTCTGTCGTTAGACGTAAATTGTCTTTCCACTCAAACAAGGCGCATTATTTCTCTTTAATGTTAAGAAAGGAAAATACTTGGACGATTGTATCACTTTATGGATCATTAATATATCTGGTTTATTTTTTAGATTTTCCAGCTCTAAAACGACGAGAGTAACCCGAAAAGTCGTATGTATATTTAAAATTTACCGTATTTTTGACGAGTATAAGTCGCACTTTTTTACTACATTTTGAGGCTCAAAATCATGGTGCGTCTTATACTCGACAGGTAACCATTTTTACAGTGAAATTATTTATAGTAGTGGTTCACTCTAGGGACCACTACTGTGCAGTGATCCGTTAAGCACATGGTCTTTCAACCGAATGGCTAGAGTACCTAGATTATCAGAATAGCGACACACGAGTCATTGCCGCCATGTTCTGTCGGCTGTCATTGTGTGACCTCTGAGTTTACATTAAGAAATGACGATTATTTCAGTTTAATAAAGGTATCGATTTACCCATCCGTCATATTCTTGAATAAAAAAAAACGAATAAAATGCAATCGCCCATTAAAAAAGTTTTTCTAAATTTTCTGTCTCAAAATAGGGATGCGTCTTATACTCGACAGCGACTTATACTCGTCAAAATACGGTATATGTCTAATAATATAAAAGTCTGTCAGATTTCTTTTAATTAAGTAATTAATAATAAAAGTGAAAGTTTTATTATACAATGTTTGATATTTACGTTTTTTCTTGTAAGATATACTTCGGAGGAGTCCAACGTTTCCTCCGAAGAATTAAGGGTGAAATCTGAAAGTTTCGAAGAAAGAAGTGAACATTTACTACTGAAAAAATGGATTTCAAAATCGGAAAAACTTTCCTTGTGATAAATTTATCGAGAAAAATGTCTTTGTAAACAAACCTTGAACAATTTTTGTCGGGACCGAAAGAATCGAAGAAATTGTTATAAACGGTTCTTTTCTGTATTTTACGATAAATCAGTGTTTTGAAATTGCATTCAATTTAGATTAAATATAGATTTATTTTATAATATATAGCCAATAAGTCGAACATCTATTTATTTTGTGGTTCTATTTATTGATTTATGTTCNTGGGAAATGTGGTGTCCAGTTTGGGGATGGCCACTTTCTAACTGATCTAATGTTTGCCGACGACAGTGCCGTCTTCGCTGACAACGATGTAGTGGCCACAGATACGCTTTATGATATAGCCACTATCGCTCAGTCATATGGTCTTAAAATAAATGTGGACAAAACCAAAGTGCTTACAACGGATGGATCGCGGGCAACTGTTTACCTTAATGGAGTCCAAATTGAGCAGGTACAAGAGTTTAAATACCTTGGGTCACTGATCAAGGAGAAGAAAGTGGCATCGTCAAATGAAACTCATGCCCGTATTGGACAGGCAGCCCATGCATTTGCCTCACTCAAATGGTTTGTATGGAGAAAGAATAACATTTCTTTGATGACCAAGATCCGCCTGTTCCGTACACTAGTCATACCGATCCTTCTCTATGGGTCAGAAACTTGTACCTTGCTTAAGACAGACTTGGACAAACTTGAGACCTTTCAATTGAAATGCTTGAGACAGATTCTTGGTATCTCCCTTTGGGATCGCATCACCAACAATGCCATCCGGACCAGATGCCAACAGCAGCCATCTGTTAAGACACAAATTCAACAGCGACGGCTGAGATGGTTTGGCCATGTGTGCCGAATGGATATCAACCGAATTCCGCACCAACTGCTCTTCCGACAGCGACCTACTCTGTGGAAAATCCAACACTCCGCACCTAAGAAAACATGGACCAAACATGTTGAGGAGGACCTCAAGAATCAACGGCTTGATCTGAACCAGGCAAAATTGGCGGCCATGGATCGAGGGCATTGGAGGGGCATTGTGGAGAAAGCTCGACTTCCTGCGGCACCCACAGCAGCATACTGGTTGCGCGGACACCCGCAACCAAATGCCAGCTAGGGACAAAAGAAGAAGAAAAGAATTAAGAAACAAATAAGCTTCGTTAGAAGAAGTAAAATGATGACAGTCATATTTGAATAGCAAATGACAGAGAAGTTTTGATTTACCTTTTGAATCGTTGAATGCAAGGTTATGACGGAAAATACTCGGAGGTTGACATCACATTATTGTTTGTTTAGTAAAAGGAAACACCTGTGTGTATGGGCACGCAACAAAAAACATTACAATTATAAATATTAATTCCAACAAAATAAAATAATGTTCATAATACAGCGCATAGTATAAGCATGTTAAGTAACACATTTTATTGTATTTTTTGTTTTACATATATATATTACAAAGTATGAAAAACATGCAGAAAAAAGTAATTTGCCACATAAAACTCCCATAAAAATCAATAGCTCAATTAGTTATACATTTGTATTCATTGCGTAATGTATACGTTATCTTAAAATTTAAATACGATGAGACTAGAATTATTATTGTTATCAACTTATGTCTAATATATTATAAGATACTACATACAGATATATATATATATATATATATATAAACACAATAAACGAATCCATAAGAAGGCAAAAGGTTATGTGCTACGTAATCAAATTCGTTTATCAATTATATTATATAGCTTTCAACCAATGATGAGCATGCACGTTATCTAATCTTACGTTGATTTCTAAACTTCGTTAATGACGACAATTTCTAATGTTTAACACTTAAACTTTCTATTTGTCAACGTTGGATATAATTTGGGTGTGAGAAAGCAGTAAGTACAATACTTTATATTAAATGTACTAAATAATTATTCAATGTTAATACTTGTTTAATATAATATGCTATAACCAACTTATAGTAATGGAGAAGATGAAAATGTTTAAGGAAGTTGGTGGAATACGTACGTTTACATTTAACTCTGAAGGATCTGTTTTATCTGGAATGAATTATAAAGCGAAACCTGGAGATTTATTTCTCGTTAGTTATCCGAAATGTGGAACAACTTGGATGCATCATATAGTCAACTTAATTTTTCTTAAAGGTCAACCATCCGAGGATCCGTTAGATTTCCTGTTAAGTTGTCCATATTTAGAAGTTGTGGGAGGAGAATACATAGAAATGGCAAAACCGAAAGCAATGAAAACACATTTACCATTTTCTGCTATTCCTTTTTCTCCAGAATCTAAATACATTTACATTACCAGAAATCCTAGAGATTGCTGCGTTTCTTACTATCATTTTATGAAATTACTTCCATTTCCCCAGAAAGAATTAAGTTTTCAAGAATTTTTTGAGGCATTTCTCCAAGGTAATTTAGAAGGAGGCGATTATTTCGATCACCTTCTCGGATGGTACAAACATAAAAATGACGACAACGTTCATTTTGTAACATACGAAGATCTGAAGAAAGATACCAAGGGAGAAATATTGAAAATAGCCAAATTTATGGGAGAAGAATACGAAAAAAGTATTTTGAATGATCCAACAATATTAGAAAATATTATTCATTACAGCAGTTTCGATTATATGAAGGAGAGCGGCAAGAAGNCGAAATTCTATTGTAAAGCTTATACCATTAATAATAATAATGTTATAGAATTACAAAAGATTTTTCAAATGAACTTTCTCTTGCAATATAAAATTGCTACTCGCTGTAAATTGTAACTATATTTCATTGAAATTATATCTTATGTAATTTCGAAATAAAATGTACATATTTTTATACACTAAATATTGTATATAAATAATGAAAATTTTTAAATTGAAATGTTCTAAAATATTGATATTTTTTTAATTTACAGAATATTCTTGCATCTAAAATGCATTGATTATAATTATAATATACCAGATCAACTTTATTGTATTTGTGATAAATATTTGTGGTAAACGTGATAATGTCTATCTATAGATTATTAAAATATATATATATATATTGAAATATTAATTTCATCAATATTACCAAATACAATTTATCAAAGGTTAGGCTTTTATTTCGTATTTGTAACAATGGGTTAATTCTTTACGTTCATATACAACGGGTGATCGGTTTGGAGAAAGTGGCTACTATTTTGGCATTACACACGTGGAGAAAACCCGGAAAACTCCGCGTGTCCAGCTCGTACTAGTGAGGCGCGAACCCACGACCGAACTCCCAGTATTTAGGGTGCCGAAAACCGCTTGGCCACCGATGGGCGAACGGGAGAGACGAAGGTAAATCAGAAGGTGCACTTTTTTACGCTTCTCGCAATGGGCATATCTTGTAAATGATTAAACTCCATCGTATTTAATACTAAGTGAATTTGTCAAATGATACAAAGAAGCAACATATATCAACGTTAACCGACCTTTGAATTCATTTCTATAAAAGAAAATAAACAAGTAACGAGTTGCTTAACTTTTCCTGCGACATTTGTTGGCGCCATCTGTTATCATACTTTATTTTTAATAGTTTTATATTTTTAACTATTATAAAATGTCAAAAAGCTTAATTTTGAGGGTAGAAACGGGTTTAATAGGAAGAAAAGTATTTTTTATCATTTTTAGAAATTGAACTAATTAACGAAGAAAGCCATTGATTTGAAACAAAGCTTGATTGAGTAAATGGAATAAAAATTTACTGAGAATTTAATGTAATTTATTATACCTGTTTGTTTTATATTCGGTACAAAGGTACTTGTACTAATAAATACATCATATACATAAAAGCTCATTTAAAAGATTAGCTTTATTAATTGTAAAATACACAAAACCATACAAAATGATAACATAATTATTAAATTATTTTCGTGTAAATTTAATACAATTCATCGATAATATTACTCAGATTATCTCACAGATAACCTTTTAATGTCAGTTATTTATTATACGTTTTATTAAAATTTATTATATACCCTTTAAAGGTTTTTATTATAATTATTTTTAAATATCATTCCATAAATTCATTACGTCGTCGTTTTTCGTTTTTTCGGCAATTCTTTCGTCCAGTAGCTTTATTTGCAGAATAAACATAAAGTAAATTTATAAAATAATAGAAATCTTAAAAAAATAACTTTAAAAGTATCCAACATATTAATAATAATACAATCGTTAAATGTGCTTTAATTCGTCGATATTCGCGGTGAGAGCCTATTGAATCTAATGACGGAAGTGGCCAATCAAATGCCCGATAGTATTGTACAGTACATACTACGACACTAGTGACATGTTATTTTGTGTTTACTTTTACATAATAAACACAAAGTAATTTATTTTAATGTAAACGTAAAAAAACAATCGAATACGTTAATTACTGCAAAAAAGTGCAGAAAAGAATAATAGACGGAAAGATAATAACAGGTAATAAATGTTGATGGACGTCTTGATTAGCAATAAATAATTACGCGTATTGGATACTAAGAATTATTCAATTGGGAATATGCAATATACACTCGAGATTAAATTATGTTGAGGAAATTACGTAACCTTAGCGAGTGATATCGATGTTTGTTAACTTTTCCATTTCGAATGTCAGGTGGAGCCACAAGTGTTTTTTAAATTTGTAACTGCCGACTTAACCGGCAATTTCGTTAAATTCGGAAAAGAAGATTCGGAGTTTGTGCATTATAAAAAGGAGAAAATTCAGTCTTTTTTAATTAAGAGAGGGGGGAGATTTGTTGCAAGGAAGAGAAATGCCGACAACGATAATGTTGAATTTGTAAGGTGAGACGAACGTTTTAATTGGAATCTCCGAGTAAATAGTTAAACAGATTAAATAATTAGGATATTTTTAAGATTTAATTCGATAAAGCACTTAAAATATAAAAGGGTTCCGTGAAATTAATGAATATTTTATAATATTTAAAAAGGGGCACAATTTCCTTTATTCCCGCAGCACGTGGGAAAACTCGACTGAAAGGGTTTGAGTCATCTTTTGTCTATATTAGAGATGTCCAAACTACGGCCCGCGGGCCAGAGCCGACCCGGCAGGAGATTTTATCCGGCCCACGAATGTTTTTGAAAAATACTGATTTTTTTCGCGCAAACCCGTTTGATTTTCAAAAATGTATATCGAAAATTGAAAAAAAATGCAAAAATTATAGTTGATAAAAAATATTTTTTTAATTTTTAAAAATAATAAAACTGAAAAATATATACATAAAACCTTACTTAAATTTACAGTCGTAAAAATATTGTTTTGGGCTATTGTTCGGTAACTACCGAATTGGTACGAAAGCAGGCGAATAGCGAAGGTACTTTTTTTATTTTAATTTGTTTTTTTAACTCTTTCCACCCTGTGGGCACTAAGAGGGTCTCTTTTTGCAAGCCCATTATGGGTTCGGCCAGGCCCACGATAGGGCTGCCAGGTGGTGAGGGGCGGGGTCCGACATATCCGAACGGACCACCCCCCAAAAATTCCTGGGGATTTTTCAACGTGTTCGGATTCGAGCCCGAGTCCCCCAGAGCGGTAGGTTGCCACCTTGACCACTCGGCCATCCGGCCGCCCTAGCGAAGGTACTGTACACGAATACACGAATTTTATGGGCATTGTATGTGGTAAAAGAATCGAGAGCATTGTATGTGGCATCTCTGCAGTTGACCTCGTGATTGCCTTCTGTTCTGTTGCGCATGACTCATTTGCAAATTGGTATGTGTAAATTCATATTTAATGCATTACAAACTAATTATTTTGAAGTTTAATATTATTTTTTAAGGTTTAAAACAAGAATTTCAAAAATTATTTTTGATATTGACAGGAATTGAAAGGAAATTCGGCTGTTTGAAAATCCATTTAACTGCAACGTTGCCAACGTTTCAAGTCAGTTTCAAGAAATCAAGGAGGAAACTTGCTCGATTTTTACAAATTTTTGAATGCAAAAGAGTTCTAAATTTAAAACAATTTGCTTGTAAATTTATTTCTGTTTCAGACTACCTATATGTGCGAGCAAACCTTTTCCAGGATAAAGTATCTGAAATGAAAGTACAGGACAAATTTATCGGATAATCATTTGCAATCATTGCTTATAATTGGTGTTTCAGATTTTAATCCCAACTTTAATGATAAAGAAATTCTTCAGCAGAAAACACCTTCCATCATTTCCATTAAAAGTTGCAAGAAATAATTTTCTAATTATGTATAATTTAGCCATGTTTGTTTAGTATTGGTGTACCTGTAATTAACTGTAAAAAATAAAATTCAATTCTGCTTTAGTCATAATGAGATTTTTTAATTCACAGATTCATGTGACCCACCGCAAATGTATTTAAATCCCAATCTGGCCCTTGCGGCAAAATGTTTGGACACCACTGGTCTATATCGTTAGACGTAAATTCTCTTTCCTCTCAAACAAGGCGCATTATTTCTCTTTAATGTTATGAGAAAGAAAATACTCGGAGGATTGTATCACTTCTTTTATCATTAACATATCTAATTTATTTTTTAGATTTTCCAGTTCTCCCCTTAAGTATCCCGAAAGGTCGTATGTATATTTATTATTTATATGTCATGTATAAATTTGCCAGATTTCTTTTAAGTAACAAATTAATGATAAAAATTAGTTTTATTTTACAATGTTTGATATTTACGTTTTTTCTTCTAACATATACTTAGGAGGAGTTCAACATTTCAGCCGAAGAATTGCGGATGAAATCTGAAAGTTTGGAAGAATGGAGGGAACATTTACTACTGAGAAAATGGATTTAAAAATCGGAAAGACTTTCTTTGTATAAATTTATCGAGAAAAATGTCTTTGTTAATAAACGTTGAACAATTTTTGTCGGGACCGAAAGAATCGAAGAAATTGTTATAAACGGTTTTTTTCTGCATTTTACGATACATCAGTGTTTTGAAATTGCATTCATTTTAGATTGGATATACATTTATTTTTAAGATATAGCCAATAAGACAAATATTTTTTTCTGTATTTGTGGTTGTATTTATTGATTTATGTTCGATGTTTAAATTCAGATTTATTATCGTTTGACTCTTCTATAGATTTTGTGCATGAAAATGCAAAGAAATTTCGCTGTGAAGATTGTGGAAAAGAATTCCGTTTCAAGTCCAAATTAGAAGGTCATCGCAGGATTCACACGGGAGAAAAGCCATTTCCTTGTCAGTTCTGCGCTCGAAGATTCAGCCATAAGCTGGATTTACTAAGGCACGTTATGATTCATTCTGGAGAGAAACCTTTTACCTCAAGGAAGAGAAATGCCGACAACGATATGCGACCATTGCAAGCGGAAATGCGACCATTGCAAGCGGAGCTTTACACGACGCCATCATCTAGTATATCATCTTCGCATTCACACAGGAGAAAAGCCATTTGCTTGTGATCACTGCAAACGGAAATTTTCAAGGAAAGATAATTTAATAACGCATCTTCGCATTCACACAGAGCAAAAGACTTGAAAATTGTCTTGAAAATTTAGCTTAAGTTAACACAGGAAACGCCTTTCGAATAAATATTCGTAAAGACCTTTTTCAAATTTTGAATATTTTAGAATTCTTCCAGTATTTATTTTATGGATGTTCTTTCAAAACGTATAATCTGATTTAAATATTTGTTTTATGTAATTTTTGTAGTTATGACAATAAAGTGTTGTCGAATTGTAAGATTGAATTTTTTTATTGTATTTAAGAAATAAAGAAATTTCGTTACAAGAAAGGAAAATGATGACATTCATCTTTGAATAACAAGTGACTGAAGTTATGATTTACCTTTTGAATCGTTGAATGCAAAGTCTGACTTATATTTGATATTTAACGTTATGACGTGGAAAATACTCGGAGGTTGACATCACGTTATAGTTTGTTTAGTAAAAGAAAAAACCTGTGTGTATGGGCACACAACAAAAAATATTACAATCATAAATATTAATTCCAACAAAATAAATTAATGTTCATAATACAGCGCATAGTAATAAGCATGTTAAGTAACACATATTACTATTTTTTGTTTTACACGTATATATTACAAAGTATGGAAAAATGCAAAAAAAAGTAACTTGTTAGATAACATTTGTATTCATCGCGTAATGTATACGTTATCTTAAAATTTAAATACGATAAGACTAGAATTAAGGCCGAAAGTACTCTTTTTTACGATTTTTTCAAAATAAATTTACAAATGAAATGAAGGAGAATTTCGATAAGAAAATTCTCACATCCTCAAAGTTATTTTCGTAACGTTAATACAATTAGGAATTAAATGAAAGAATAAAAAGTATTTTAAATGAAAATTAACGAGTGTCAAATTGAATAAATAATTAGCAAAAGTTGAGAATTATATTGCACCATCCAAGTGTTAAAATTATTTGTATAATATTTATAATAACATTCTCTCCGTTACGGCGTTAATATGAGAATTCAAATTGCATTTGTCAAAGAAATTTCCTAATCGACAATCGCACTTAAATGTCTTTAATCCCGTGTGAAAGCGAAGATATTCCCTCAGTGTTAAGCTTCGTTTGCAAAGGTGAAAGTTTTCCGGAATGAATCTTCAAGTGTCTTCGTAGATTGAAAAATTGAATGATTTCCCACATAACTGGTAAGAGAACGGCTTTTCTCCTATACGAATCCTATTACGACATTGTAAGTATGACGAATTCCTCAAGAATATATAATTTAATGACTTTTATTACATTTATAAAATTAATTCCGAAATTCTATTATAAAGCTTATACCATTAATAGTAATAATGTTATACAATTACAGAAGATTTTTCAAATGAACTTTCAATATAAAATTGCTACTCGCTATAAATTGTAACTATATTTCATTGAAATTATATCTTATGTAATTTCGAAAGAAAATGTACATATTTTTATACACTAAATATTGTAAATAAATAATGAAAATTTTTGAATTGAAATGTTCTAAAATATTGATATTTTGTTAATTTACAGAATATTCTTGCATCTAAAATGCACTGATTATAATTATAATATACCAGTTCAACTTTATTTTATTTCTTATAATTATTCGTGGTAAACGTAATAACGTTTATCTATAGATTATTAAAATATATATATAAATTTAAATATTAATTTCATTAATTAATATTATCAAAAAGAATTTATCAAAGGTTAGGTTTTTACTTCGTATGTGTAACAATGGGTTAATTCTTTACGTTCATATACAACGGATGATCGGTTAGCAGAAACTGTCTACTATTTAAGCAATTACACACGTGGAGAAAACCCAGTAAACTTCACGTGGCCAGCTCGTACTAGTGAGGCGCGAACCCACGACCGAACTCCCAGTGTTTAGAGTACTGAAGACTGGTTGGCCGCCTGTGGGCGAACGGGAGAGACGAAGGTTAAATCAAAAGATACACTTTTTTACGCTTCTCGCAATGGGCATATGTTGTAAATGATTAAATTCCATCGTATTTAATTCTAAGTGGGTTTGTCAAATGATGCAACGAAGCGAACATATATCAACGTTAACCGACCTTTGAATTCATTTCTATAAAAGAAAATAAACAAGTAACGAGTTGCTTAACTTTTCCGGGCACGTTTGCTGGCGCCATCTGTTATCATACTTTATTTTTAATAGTTTTGTATTTTTAACTATTATAAAATGTCAAAAAGCTTAATTTTGAGGGTAGAAACGAATTTAATAGGAAGAAAAGTATTTTTTATCATTTTTAGAAATTGGACTAATTAACGAAGAAAGCCATTGATTTGAAACAAAGCTTGATTGAGTAAATGGAGTAAAAAGTTTACTGAGAATTTAATGTAATTTATTATACCTGTTTGTTTTATATTCGGTACAAAGGATGTATAGTTGTACTAATAAATACATCATATACATAATAGCTCATTTTAAAGATTAGTTTTTAATAATAATTGTAAAATATAGAAAACCATACAAAATGATAACATAATTATTAAATTATTTTCGTGTAAATTTAATACAATTCGTCAATAATATTACTCAGATTATCTCACAGATAACCTTGTAATGTGAATTATTTATTAAACGTTATATTAAAATTTATTATATAGCCTTTAAAGGTTTTTATTATAATATTTTTATAAAATATCTTTCCATAAATTCATTACGTCGCTATTTTTCGTTTTTTCGGCAATTTTTTCGTCCAGTAGCTTTATTTGCTTTTCATTGAAATGATTTTTCCAGTCTCCTACGATTCCTTTTCTCACAAAATCCCCATTTGCTTTATTTTCTATATTTTCACTCGATAATTTCATTATTTCTATCAATGTATCGGGTAAATCTCTATTTTTAAAAACTTTATGTCCATTTACAAGCGCTTCTATTGCTTTATTAGTATGTTTCTTCATGTAATCGAAGCTACTGTAATAAACGATGTTCTCTAATATAGTAGGATTTTCTAAAATACATTTCTCATATTCTTCTCCAATAAATTTCGAGATTTTCATAATTTCTCCTCTAATATCTTTCTTTAAATTCTCATAAGTAACAAAATGCACGTTTTTATCGTTTCTATGCTGATACCATTCAAGAAGATGGTCGAAATAATCGCCATATCCTATACTTCCTTCTATAAACCCATCAAAAAATTTATCAAAACTTAAATCTGTATCTTTGGGTAATAATAACTTCATGTGATAATAATAGGACACGCAACAATCTTTAGGATTTCTTGCCACGTATATATATTTGGCTTCATCCGAATGCGATATTGCATAATACGGTACATGTGTTTTTATTATTTTCGCCTTTGATTCTTCGATATAATCAGCACCCAACAGTTCTATACATGGGCACCCTAAAAAGAAATCTAAAGGATCTTCTGACACTTGGCCTTTTCTTAGGATTAACAAAGCTATGGTTTGCATCCAAGAAGTTCCGCATTTTGGATAAGCTGCAATGTAAATTTGTCCAGGTTTTGCTTTGTAATTCAAAACTGATCGAACAGATTTTCCTGATAATACTTTTGGCATTGGCACTCCTTTAATAGATATATAAAAACTGTTTTCCATTTTCACTCTTTAATAACACCTGTAAAAATTTAAAAGAAGAATTATGTATATTTGCTTTATCTAACTCCATATTCAAGTCTTTCCATTTCGTTACTAAGAAAACATTTAGTTATATACAGAAAAATAAAGGATTTTTAAAAATATTAATCATGCTGTAATTCTAGTTATATTTAAAAAATAAACGTGGGATAAACTTAAAATCAAGCGATTATATTAAAAACAAAATACAGTATATAGGGTAATCATAATTAAAGAGTATGTGTACGGCTCTCTGCAGCAAGAAGTATAAAGAAAATCTTTGTGAAAGTTAGTGTACAATACATACTATTCTGAGAGAGCGGTTTGGTATTTTTGGGAATTAATTGTACTTCAGAATTCAGCATCTAGAAGGAAATTTTGCGCTGCCATTCTTCTAGTGTGCGTGTTTCTATGTTTTGTAATATATTTCGGATGTTAAGAAACAACATATAATAATTTTATTTTAATTACAGACTGTAGAACTGACTATTATATCAAAGATAGGGGCTCGTCTCCATGTTTAAGAATTGCATTCCCTGCATCACGCAATCGACATAAGAACATGTGCATTGAATTGTTGCACGTGTAAAATAGTGTCAATTACGTTCGAAACTTTGTTCTAATAAAGGGATCTATTTAAGTAGCCCCATATTCGAAAGTCACATTGGTTATGATCATGGTGGCAATGACGTTAGCAATGATCCTGTAATCACCCTGCAAAAAAACTTGGTTTCAATAAGGCTCGCATATTGCCATAATGACAAAGTTTTGATCTATGTCTTTGTATCTAGTGGCTTGAACTTGGTTTAAATGTAGTTTTCGTAAAAACGAAAAACAGAACGAAGAAAGAAGAATCAATGATAAAGGATGCTGTAAAACCATACCACAACGTTTCTTGAGTAAGTGCAATGAAATTTGTCGGTAAACGTGAGGATTCTTGTCAGACAAAATACGACAGTTGTAAGTGCCCACGTCACCATGTAAACTAAACAGCCTCATCTTTCCACAGAATTCCTCCGAGTACCTACACTTTAATTATGATCAATTTGTATTTTTATTTTCCCGGCTGTTATATATAACAAATGAAAAATATGGCAATCGGTCAAGAAATGACCTCTCAGATTTTTAAATTTTTGGACTTAGGACACCTTGAAACATCGAGAAAGTAAAAACATTCGGGGGTAATTTCTGTATGATGTTACTGTGTTTACAGGGGGCACGAGTTTGTTGTATCTTATGTACTTTTAAAGTTTACACTTATATGTTATTACTTGACTCGCATAAGGTATTGTTTACAATACAAATATTGTAAGCATACATTCTTTAGTAACAAATTATGAAATATTTATTGTTGTATTTATGAAAAATTTGCGTATAATAAAAAAAAGTACGTCGCCCTTCGTAAAGTAAATTCTATGCGGAAAAAACATTCTTTTCTAGTACTTGTTTTTGAAACTTGACACCTAACTATATTCTAATCGGTGTTATATTTAATAGTAACTATTGTTGACTATGAAAACTGACATGCACAATTTTCAAAAGTCTATTGTACTGTACATCAAGTGTTATTTCACATTCATTGCAGATAATATTATTGCTCTTGGAAGTAGTGGGAAACCTATATATGAACAAATTGATCTCCTCAACAGAGGAAACCAGAAACTTTGTGATTCACAGGCACTGCTGCAAAAAAGTGAAGAAAGAGTGCTTCAAAAAAGACTTAGATTAAAGTGCTTGTTTGTTGTGACTGATATTTTGGCAGGAAAGAAGAGCAAAACTGAAAGTGAATTCCCAGTTCCTCTTCTTCCAAGGTCGAAATACTGTCCATTCATCATCTTCAGATGTGGAACATTTTTTCTCTGCGTATAAATTAATTCTCAGTGACAAACGTTGAAACTTTTCTATTGTAAATTTGGAAAAAGTGCTTGTAATATATTATGAAGCTAACTATGGGAAACGGAGCGAATAAAAAATGTAAAGATAATTGTTTGTCTATTTTTGTGTTTGCATCATTCTGAATACGCGCATTTTTGTTTGGAATACATATGTTAAATAAAAAAAAATTCATCGTCCTGATAAGTAGGTTAATTGTTCATTGTGCAAATTTTGACTGCTTGCTTTTTGTTTATAAAGCCTAAACGACGCAATTTAAGAGCTTATTTTAAGCGCCTAAAACGCCACTTTTAAGAGCCTAGATGCCCTCTGTCTAGTAATAAGTTAAAGTAAGAGAGAGAGAGACAAAACTCTAGAGGTCGAGAGAGGGGACCCAGGTCATTTATCTCTATATACAAGTTTAAAAGATTATTGCATTATAGATTTCAAATAATAAAACTTGAGAGAAAATAAAAGAGTTTTGTTGATAATACACGTGAAAAACAATAAAACGAATATTTTTAAAACGTTTTTCAGGTATGTGGCCCGGTCTAATTGAGGTATTGTCTAGTAAAAGACACTCAATAAACTATAAAACAAATATATGCTAATTCCCTTTGAAGTTTTTAGTGTAAATATAATAAAAATACAGTATTAACTTTTAATGGTAATAAACAGTTTTATTTATTTCTTCATTTATAATCATTAAGTGATGCTATACTGTATACTACGGACCTATAAAACGGCATATTTTATTCAGAAAAGGATGATATTAACGTTTAGAAATATGTAAAACCTTATATTAAAAGAAAAGTTAATATTTGTAATTTAATTGCCCGTGATTTACAGAATTATATTAATTTATTAACCCACGTCATAAAGTTGAGAAACACCGATAATTAATAAATAGAAAAATTGTTTAGTGGTAACTTACCTTCAATTTTAAAATCAAACGAGTAGTTTAGCTCTACTAACTTCAACTGAGGGACGATCTACGTTTACAGGTTATCATTCAGCTTAATTAAGCCACGTGATCAATGACCTCAGAGAGGTTTATATTACATTTATTTGCATCATCACCTTGCAACATATTCTCTTGTTTTTGTAACATTATTTTTTTTATATTTTGAATAAATATATTGAAAATAACTTAAATATTTTATCAATCACATAAATTAAATTTATATCTAGGGCTCCAAATATTTTTAAAGTTCTTGAAAACAACGAAATAGACTAGAAGTTCGTTAGTCCGGTATCAGATAATCCAGAATATCTGGTAATCCGGAACCTCTGAAAAGTAGCCGATAACTCGGAATTAACTGATAATAATCCGGCTTAGACACGTGATGCACTAACGACCCCGTCTGGAATTTTAGTACGTGTTTGGAAAACAAATATATTCATTTCTGTACACTATTATGAAAACAAAAACTACATGCCAAAGATGCCTCGGCATAGGGTGGTGTTTTTCAACCTTCTTCTAACAGTGGCATCACAAACTTGGTAGAATCTTTCTTGTGGCATCCCTACTTCTTTATTAATGTAGCATTTTTTTGTGGCTTGTTAGCTTTTTAGGGGCCGCCCATAAATTACGTCAGCATTTTTCTTGAAATTTTTACTCCCCCTTTCCTCTTGTCCCAGTTCGTCCAAGTCTCTGTAACCCCCTCCCTTGTTCGGTCGTCCTACGAAACTCGATTCCACTTAAAATCTTTACCAGTTTATGAATGATAGACACCAAAAACGTTGAAATAAATATTATAAAATGCATAAAGTGTATAGAAGTTAATGAAATAACTGACGCCCAACCTCTCCCCTCCCCTTATCCGACTTGTAGTAATCCTCTTCCTCCCTTCCAGTGTAGACTTTATTTAAGGACATCCTTAATACAAGGACGCCCTTGTATGAAGCCCGGTGGTAGAGAAATCCCCTTTTATGGAAGTGTTAAGCACTATATTTCGCGGACCCCTTATATGTTGTTGTGGCATCCTAGTGTGCCGCGACATTCCAACGATGATCAAATACTCTATGTATCTAGCTATAAACAAAATAATTTGCTCGAAATATAAAAGTTTTATATTATTTCCGCATTCATTAACAATAACATAGTCAGATTTTAAAATATTTCTCTATGCAAACGTTTTCAGTTACCTGTAATTTAAACACAATATAAGTTGGAGCTTCAAGCTCTGGGTTGATGCCGTATCATACGCTTATATAATTTTATAATTGTAGATGTATCAGTAAAATATTTTAATTTAGAAATAATATTAATGACACGAGAAAAAAGTTCATTAATACATTAATTTCATCATACCAATTACAGTGTATAATAATTCCAATGGTATTAGAATTATGTACAAAATTTTCCATAAACGCTTTAAGTAAACCTATTCTTTCATATTTGTTCATGGACCTGAACCATAGTTTTGGCATCATTGGCATAGAGTATTAATAACGTAAAAATGATGCGTATACTTTAGCTAAAAGAATTAGTTTTAATAATTAGGGGAGATCGGGGCAAGATCGGCATGTTAAGCTTTACTTAAATTTTGTGTAATAAATACTGCTGTAAACTGAAAAAAAAGCTTTGCATATTGTCTATTGGAATGTTACCTTACTATAGAACTGGTTAAAATCAGTTTGGAAATAAAAATAATTAAAATAATTACAACTTTACAAGAAGAGAGAAATTGACGAAGTTGCCCCGGGTATAGGGGCAAGATCGGCAACTTCTCTCTTTTTGTAAAGTTGTAATTATTTTAATTATTTTTATTAAAGTTGCCCCTGGTATAGGGGCAACAGTAATGGGGCAAGATAGGCACGTATATAAAATTATGTTATTAACAATGTATAAGTTGGAATTCACTATTAAAACAAAGAAATACAAATCCAACACCCATTTAATATTATTACAACGAAATGCAAGTTCAAAGACATATATACATGAATAACAAATGCAAACATGTTTTCATTTATCATCTGTTTGATTTTTATCCTTTGCTTCTAATGTGGCTTTATGTTGCCGATCTTACCCCGCTAGTCATGATTTCGAAACATTAAGTACAACCCTGAGAACAGAATGCCAAGCCACGATCTGGCCACGTGAATAAGTTGAAGTTACATCCTTCTAACAGGAAAAGTAACTTTCGTTATCATGGAATTATAACAAAACCTGCCAATTCAATATAAATGGAAAAAAAATATTATATGGAATTGAACGAAAATGAAAATTTGCTTGATAATTCAACTACGCGTGTTGGAGAACAATAAAAACACTACACTCAACAAGCCAACAATAAAACTCAACTGCCTAACCTCTAACCAAAGTCTTCTTTTAATTTGTTTTTTAAAAAAAGCGCTTGACAAACTTGCCCCGCATGCCGAAGTTGCTCCGATCTCCCCTATATGTAATTGTCTATATTGTAAATCGGTTAATGATGTTCTATTTTCAATTTATACCTAGAAAAAACTGGAATTAAATGTATTAAATTATTCTTCAAATTTTTAAATAACATAGAATCGTTTTTTCTTTCTTAAATTTTGCTATTTTAGGTTAAGTTAGGTTAGGTTAGGTTTTTTAGTGGTTTTAGGCTCCTTACCGCTCAGAGAACACAAAGAGGCCAAGAATGTTATGTTTTGAAGGGTGTACTGGGGTTAGTGCCCCTAAGTGGGCTCATAGATGTCCCAAGTAGGGCTCAGAGTTGCTAGTCCCTTGTGAGGGCTCATAAAATTTACGTTTTATTAGGTTAGGTTACGTTAGGATTAGTTATAGGTTCAGGATACACGATGTTTTAGAAATAGATGAACAATGGAAGACTGCTCACACAATCGACTATAATGCATTAATATACTATATGAAGATTGAGACACGTATGATAATAAATTTCGTATATTTGTTACTTATACCAATTTGTTTAAAAAAATAATAATAAATATATTATAAAATATGCGGAAATTTTTAAGCTGTAATGAAAGAATAAAGCGTATTTTGACTATTTGATCGGTTATTTGGATTATTTCATGCGAGCAGGTTAATCAGATCGAGCGTGTTTTGATCTTTATGTGTAATTCAATCATATCTGTTATAATTGTTTTTTATTTTAAAAAATATTCCAATAATTACAAAACATACTTGGTTACTAAAAAATTTTATAAAAATAATCATGATCATGTAATTTCAATTTGCAGAACATGATAGAAATTCTTGTTTTTGCTATTGATGTAAGGATATCGAAAAGTTAGAAAAGTTTCGTTTTACGTGTATTTAATTATAAATTATATATATATATATATAGTTATCAAATTTTAACGTTTTTTACAGTTGCAAAAGTGAGCATGACATATATATGTTAATAGATAAAGTAGAAAAAAATGCATAAAATTCGTTGAATGTCTTTGTTTTCCTTCCGTTTATTACGGATGATTTGCGAGTTTCAGCACTCAATTACTAATTTTACAAAGATTTTATAATATTTTTCAAATCTAATTCACAAAAACTAATGTCACAGAAAACCGCAGTTGAAAACTCGTGACTGATTTTTGGTTTGACGAATAATTTATGGATGAGAAATGAAAGGCAGACTTCAGTTTAGCACTCTGATGAATTCCTTTCTCTATTATATATTATATAAATAATTTTCTGATGTTTAAGTAGCTAAAATTTTATTTAAAATTTATAAAATTAACGACAATTTATTATTTAAAAAGATTTCAGACAAAACTGAAATAAAAATTATATGCCTTTACATATCTGTCACATTCACAGGAACACAGTTAACACGAGAAGAGCCGATCGTTTGTTTTGAGTTTCTTCTCTGTTTACGAATATTTAAAAGTTTTTACAATTTTTTAAGAAATATTTTCACAAGAATTCGGTGCCAGAAGGACTTTTAATGAATTTACGTGAATTAAAACGAATGAAGAGGCTTTATTTAAAAAAATAACTTTTGTATTATTAATTATTATAAAGTGGCAAAAGGCTCGTGACACTAGACCAGCTAATAACAGACACCTAAAGTTTTACATAATAGGCTTTGTTTACCCCAGCAAAAAGGGTGTACACGATATAATGTTGGAAAGCTTTTTCAGTTAAGAAGTACAACGTTTTATTAGCAACTCTATAAAGTTGACAGAAATTTCTGTAGTTATGATAATTATCAATGTTCTTAAATATTTTAATTAAAAAAATGAGTAAAAATATTTACTGCTACAAACAATATATTTATTTCTGTTTAAATTACATATGATATATTGTTACAGAAAGATAGTTATGATTTAAACCGTATACAATAGTTTCTTGTGATTATATTGTAACTTAAATTTTTTTTTTTTTGAAAATTCTAATATATTTATATAACATTATTATTATTATTGAAAAGTAACATTTATAATAAAAATTATGATTTATTTTTTAAAAATGTAATAAAAGTCATTAAATTACATATTTAATTGTTTTCAAAAATGTCTTTCCACAAATTCATAACGTCACTGTCTTTTGTTCTTTCCATAATTTTTTCATTTAACAATCGTATTTGTTCTTCGTTAAAGTGATTTTCCCAATCGCCAACAATTCCTTTTCTAACAAGAGTCCCGTTTTCTGTATTGTTTTTCTTTTTATTTAAATTTTGTACAACTTTCATTATCCCTGGAGGTAAATTTTGGCTTTCAAGCCATGTTTTGTCTATGTCGAAAAACACATCAACGTTCTTCTTGCTGCTTTCCTTCATATAATCGAAACTGCTGTAATAAATAATATTTTCTAATATGGTTGGATCATTCAAAATACTTTTTTCGTATTCTTCCCCCATGAATTTCGCTATTTTCAATACTTCTCCTTTAATATCTTTCTTGAGATCTTCGTATGTTACAAAATGAACGTTGCTGTCATTTTTATGTTCGTACCATCCGAGAAGGTGATCGAAATAATCGCCTCCTCCTAAATTACCATGGAGAAATGCCTCAAAAAATTCTTGAAAACTTAATTCTTTCTGGGGAAATGGAAGTAATTTCATGAAATGATAATAAGAAACGCAGCAATCTCTAGGATTTCTGGTAGTGTAAATATATTTAGCTTCTGGAGAAAAAGGAATAGCAGAAAATGGTAAATGTGTTTTTATGGCTAATGGTTTTGCCATTTCTATGTATTCTCCTCCCACAATTTCTAAATACGGACAATCTAAAACGAAATTTAAAGGATCTTCCAATATTTGACCTTTTCCATGTATTAAGTTGACTATATAATGCATCCAAGTTGTTCCACATTTCGGATAACTAACGAAAAACAAATCTCCAGGTTTCGCTTTATAATTCATTCCAGATAAAACTGATTCTTCAGAGAAAAACGTAAACGTACGTATTCCACCCACTTCCTGATAATATTTAATCTTCTCCATTACTATAAATTCATTATTTTATATTATATTAAGTATAGATTATAATTGAATAATTATTTATTACGTTTAATATGAAGTGTTTTACTTACTGCTTTCTCGTACGCTAGTAATATCCAATGTACACAGATAGATTTACGGAGTGTTAAGAATTGGAAATGAACGTCGTATCTAATGCCTTTAGTTATTATTCGTATTCTTTTTTCAAAACTGCAAGATATAAAATTGATAATTATACACACGTATATGTAAACGTTAAGTTAAACAACCCAAACTGGAATGACGGCTCTGTGTCTAAAAATCGGTGTGACGACTGAAACAAGAGAAGAAAAAGAAGAGGTTTTTGAATACCTCGACCATACGGAACATTCCAATTTTCAACGCTGACTTAACGATGATCTCAACAGGTATGTTGACCGCTATTTCCCAATGAATTATAAGTAATTGGAGCAACATTTCAATGATAAATAGCGACAATGCAGGAGATGCACGTTACTGTCGATAATAAAACATATCACTTTGTGGTTGATGAAAAAACAGCAAGAATGAAGACGATTTTAAAAAATTCAATAACATTTCGAGTAAACAATAAATTCATCTTTCATTGTTTTTGTCAGACTACAGTTATTGTTTTTATAAATTTTAATGAAATTCTTCTATTTAATTGTTTACATATATATATATTCAATGATAGATCAATCAACATCTGAGAGATCGGAAACAAATGTACCGGTATATTAAGTAATAATACACAGTAAGGATACTTTGTAATTATTATATCATTTGATGAGCCTGGCCAACCAGCAAATATATCTATAAATTGTAATTTTGCATCACATACAGCCTGTAGAATGACAGAAGTGAATTTTTTTCTGTTGAAATGTGCAACCTTTTTATTTTTGAGGGCTGTAAATGGAATCGTTGTCATTAAAAATATTGCAAGATGCCGTAATAGCAGAGGAAATGATACACTCGTCCTCCATCTTGCTGAGAATGGAATTATGAGAACTAAGCACTTCGTACTCGACGATGACGTCAAATTGTTGACTTCAACACTCGCGTTGAAAATTGAAATGTCCCGTTAGTATAAGCGACAAGTAGTTTCACGTGAAGTAACGGTTTGTCCCCTAAGTTAAGCAGAGTATGTGCGACTTTGTATCAGACGGTAGCAAGGGAAATCACTAGACACTAGAATTAGCAGAACGGTTTAGTTAGTTTGTTTGTTTAGTCAAGTTTCGGCAACGCAACACTTGGGCGATCTGCCTACGGGAATACCTTCCGGGAGGATCTTTTTAAGGGTAACTGGCCCCTATTCAGGCGTTACAAACGTGGAAAATACCTCAATTCAATATTTTTATTGCTGTAGAAGATAGTACAACACCGGTACCGCATGTAGCACAACCGGTGAGTGGAGAAAACCTGGAAAACTCAACGTGGCCAAGCCGTTCTAGGCAAGACGCGAAACTACGACCAGAACTCCCAGTGTTCGGGAAACGAAACTGCTTGGCCACTGATGGCCGCTCGGCCAAACTGCACATTACAATTTTCATAAACTATGGAACGAAATAAATATTGAGGTTATAAAATATGAGTATTTTTGTGATTTTATTCAAAATGAGAAAACGCATTATGACTAACAACATTCTATGCGGGACAAGGCTCATACATTCATGAACGTTGTTCAATTATCTGCACTTGTTCTTTGTATATTCTGATTATTGATAAAATGTAAACAACATCCATATTTCAAGTTGTATCTTTTGTTACTATATTTACAGTTTATGGATTTTATTATGTATTTAATTAAAGAGAAAAAAAGAATGTAGTTTCTGTAATTGAAAGTATGTAATACAAACAGAATCTTATTTCTAGTCCTAACAGATAGTATTATATTTTAGAAACGCTGGATAAAGGTACACAAGAACTGGAAGAATTGGGCACTGGTTAATAAACAAAACGATAAAAAAATTTTATTTTACTTTTTGTATATTATTGAGCTATCGATTTGTCGCTCAAATGACCAAAGCATCGTATCCTAACATTCAGTATTGCTCGCTCACCAGCATTTCCCTCGGAGACTGCAATGGCGCTAGCTACAAGATGACGTTTCGAAGTGCCACACGATAAAAGGGACCTCTAAGTGAAATTACTTGTCACTTATACTATACCTTAACCATTGAACACAAGCTTCTAGAAGAAAGACGAGAAGACAGCAAGTTTAACGACGGAAATTGAAAGACGAAGAAGAAACTTTACACTTATCTGGGTGGCCGCACGTTGGGGATCGCCCTCCATTATCTCTCCTGATCTTAAATCTACTTCTTATAACGATTCTAATAATTCTCCTAATTTTAAAGTTCCTAACTCGACTAGAATCGACCTTTTAACTCGACTATAGCCTTATTCCGCCTTACCGATAGTTTGAAAAAGTCGAACCCCACTCCTGAAAAACCAATTTGTGAGTAGCCCCTGAGGTAGCACGAAGTCGTACCTCTTTCGAGTCGCGTTACAAGCTGGTTAAATTAAGCCTGCCCGCTGGTCAAAGGGTGGATTGTCTAATTCGAGATGCTATCGACCTTTCGCGCGGAGGTGAATGGATGCGCGCCCAGAGAGAGTTTACAATATTCGTTATCATACCTTTAGGGTTGTGGTTAAAGAATGACGTGACCTAGATCTGGACGTGACGTACGCTCTCCACTCGGACGGCTCAAGACGTACGGAGATGACGGACCCCCTTCTATCGTCACCATTCTTTTATATCTCAAGTCACGTCATTGGTTTTCGCCAATCGCAAATTTTTTTGCTGTAAGTTGTTATTCATTCTCGGGTTCCGGAGAGAAAGGAAACGTCTCCGGGGAAGGAAATGTGTTCATCCGTTTGATATAAGATGGAGGGTTTCTTTCTAAATAAATTGATTCTTTGTTTAATTTTAATGTTTAATTTTATTCGGTCCGACCCTCACACATATACAGTTTAAAAATCTGGTGAGATTCCTAATCGGGAGGATTATTTATTCAAATAATACTAACAAGTAAGTAGAACAAGGTTTTGTTTTTTAATAGTTTTTATTCTTTAAATTTTTATGATACAGTAAGTGCCAGATTTTTCATAGTTTGATTCGAGTAAAATCTTTGTAAATCTGCATTTTATCATATTTTTTTATTATCATATACACGATACAACCCTTAAACATACAGAATAACACAAAATATAAACAAAACCGTTAGATATTTTAAACAATTTAAATACATTCTCATTATAAGGAGAATTTACAGTATTTTCTTTAAAATTTTTAACTAAAATAATTATAATATCATAATTAAAATCTTATTACTTTTAATAGTTTTTCATATTACAGTAGAGCGTCGTTTATCCGAAACGTCGGTTATCCGAAATAATTCCAGTTGGCCCAAAGTATAATTTTTATTTGTTTTTATATTTTTTAATGTATTTATTTCGTTTGTAAAACATAAAGAAATCATTTTTAACGATACAATAGCCACGATTATTATTTTTAAAAGTTTACGTTAGGCTTAACATCGACGAAAATTCAACGCGAAGCGACACGCAACGGAGAAAAATTTCAACACGGGATAGGTTATATTTTTTCGCACATAATCGGTTATCCGAAAAACAAGTTATCCGAACAATCCCAGTCCCCAATTGATTCGGATAAACGACGCTCTACTGTAGTTAATCATTTTCAAATAAATTCAATACAATTATAAACCCTTTAGAAATATTGTATTATAAATTTTTTAAATATCTTTCCATAAATTCATTACGTCGCTATTTTTCGTTTTTTCGGCAGTTTTTTCGTCCAGTAACTTTATTTGATTCTCATTGAAGTGATTTTTCCAATCTCCTACGATTCCTTTTCTTACAAAATTTCCACTTCCTCTGTTTTCTCGATTTTCACTCGTTGATTTCATCATTTCTACCAATGCATCGGGTAAATCTCTATTTTTAAAAATTTCGTCTCCATTCAGAAACAATTCCATTACTCTATTGGTATCTTTCTTCATATATTCAAAGCTACTATAATAAACGATGTTCTCTAATACAGTAGGATCTTCTAAAATACTTTTCTCATATTCTTCTCCAATAAATTTCGCGATTTTCATAATTTCTCCTCTAATATCTTTCTTTAAATTCTCATAAGTAACAAAATGTACGTTTTTATCATTTCTATGCTGATACCATTCAAGAAGATGGTCGAAATAATGGCCGTATCCTATACTACCTTCTAAAAACCCATCAAAAAATTTATCAAAATTTAAATCTATATCTTTGGGTAATAATAACTTCATGTGATAATAATAGGACACGCAACAATCTTTAGGATTTCTTGCCACGTATATATATTTGGCTTCATCCGAATATGGTATTGCATAATACGGTATATGTGTTTTCATTACTTTTGCCTTTGATTCTTCGACATAGTCAGCGCCCATCATTTCTAAAAATGGACATCCTAAAAAGAAATCTAAAGGATCTTCTGAGACTTTTCCTTTTCTTAAGATTAACAAAACTATATTATGCATCCAAGTAGTTCCGCATTTTGGATAAGTAACAATATATATTTCACCAGGTTTTGCTTTGTAATTCAAAGCTGATCGAACAGCTTTTTCTGGAAATGCTTTTGGCATTGGTACTCCTTTAACATTTACACAAAAATTGCTTTCCATTTTGTCTATTTAATTTATAACACCTGCATAAATTTAAAAGAATTATGTAAATTTATTTTTAACACGTAAAAAATGTTTTATTAGTAGTATTTATCAGTGTTTCTCATCCCATATTTAACAGTATTTTCATCCCACTCGTGAGGGGAGCCATTTACCTATATACAACAATTATATCAGTTATAAAACTATTAATAATACTATAATTTTAACTATTGTTATTTGTACATAACAAGGGAATGTTAATAACATTTATAATGTTTTATAAAACTCATCTCTACCCTCAAAATTAAATCTTTTGCTATTTTATAATAATTAAAAATATATATAAATTTTTTATAACAAAATCTCATAACAGATGGAGCCACATACTATTTTATTTTTTCGTATTATTAATCAAAATTATTATTATTTTTAAAAGAAAATCTCTTAAAAGCCGGGAAAGTTACGCAACTCGTTGCAAGGTTTTTTAAAATTTAGATAATAATATTTGTCTTTGCGTAATATATCGTTTATACTAAAAATATTTTAAACTTTTCTCAATAAAAAATTTACTGTTATTATATTAGTAACTATTATTAAGTATGAAAAAAATCGCATATATGATTTATGAACTTTAAACAGTTAAACCGAGGATTTAAAGTATAATCAGATAAACTTATAAATACAATATAATCAAATATTAGCAGACGTATTTCGTAACAAGTTGAAATACAGTCGACTCCCCCTATAACACTGTTGATAATTTCATTTTATATGAATTCCACGTTGTACGAGTCACTTAGATTTTACAAATACGTGAGTCGGGCTGAGAACGGCTCACGTATTTGTAAAATTTAAGTGACTCGTACAACGTGGAATTCATATAAAATGGAATTATTAACAGTGTTATAGGGGGGTCTACTGTATAAGACAGAACCTGTAGACACTGTAAGAGGCCTTTACCTTCAGTTTTATTTAGAATTAAATTTTTATGCACATAAGTTTTCTTATTACACAGAAAGTGAATGAAATGTATAATTTTTTACGTGTTTTTAAGGTACCCGTATAAGTGAGGCCAAAAACAAATAGTCCTGCTGCTGACCTATATTCTACAGTATGTGAAACCTTATCTCAGTAGCTTAAAGTTATTTACAGAATTATTTGTACATTATTTTATTAACCCTCATCGTAAATTTGAGAAACACTGGTATTAAATAAACAGAAAATTATTTAATAGAAACTTACCTTGACTTTAAAATCAAACGAGTCGTTTATCTGTACAAACTTCAACTGAAGGAAGCTCTACGTTTACCGTTTATCATTAAAATTAATCAAGTGATGTGGATCAATAACCTTGAACCGGTTAACTCTCGCATTTACTTACATCACCATCGTGCAGCAAATTTTAATCTTGTCAAGCTTAATTTTATCGTTTTAGATACGTTTGTTTCAAATATCTTAATATCAATAATTAAACAATTAAATTATAAAAAATATATTTATATATTGGACTCTGATTATTCATAACGTTCGTACAAGCAATTGAAATACAAACTTCGATTTTCGAACATAATTCGTTACTAAAAGTTGTTCGAAAACCGAAACAAATTTTTTCGTAAGAAACAATATAAAACGGATTAATTCGTTCCTGATCTCAAAAGGAAATTTATTTTTAATACTTTTTTAGCCGTATACAGGGAGGTGACTGTCTGTGTCTCTAATCTGTAGCCAGCTCTTGCCATTGTATGGCAACTGGGGTAAATATGAGTTCGGAATTATGTTTGTGAACCGATTTGTTCGAAAAGTGACTCGTTCGTAAACCGATTTGTTCGAAAAGTGACTCGTTTGTAAACCGATTTGTTCGAAAAGTGACTCGTTCGTAAACCGATTTGTTCGAAAAGTGACTCATTCCTAAACCGATTTGTTCGAAAAGTGACTCGCTCGTAAACCGATTTGTTCGAAAAATGACTCGTTCGTAAACCGATTTGTTCGAAAAGTGACTCATTCGTAAACCGATTTGTTCGAAAAGTGACTCGTTCGTAAACCGATTTGTTCGAAAAATGACTCGTTCGTAAACCGATTTTTTCGAAAAGTGACTCATTCGTAAACCGATTTGTTCGAAAAGTGACTCGCTCGTAAACCGATTTGTTCGAAAAGTGACTCGTTCGTGAACCGATTTGTTCGAAAAATGACTCGTTCGTAAACCGATTTGTTCGAAAAGTGACTCGTTCGTAAACCGATTTGTTCGAAAAATGACTCGTTCGTAAACCGATTTGTTCGAAAAGTGACTCATTCGTAAACCGATTTGTTCGAAAAGTGACTCGCTTCGTAAACCGATTTGTTCGAAAAGTGACTCGCTCGAAAATCGAGGTTTGACTGTACAGAGAAGTTCGTTATCTAACACTCGATAATCCGGACAATTAAAGCGTAAAACGGTATTTTGTAACTCCTCTTTGTTTCAGTGCTCTTCATTTTCTGGTACAAAATTTACAACAACGTCTGCTTTGTGGTACATTTTATATCAGAACAGCACAAAGCAACCCCGCGATCCATTATTTTCGATAATCCACCACCACTCTAGTTTTCTAGGTGCTACATAATTTACCTAAATTAACAAATTACTTTAAAATAATCTATAAAATGTTTTCATTTTTTATAATACAGATTTCATTTGCTGGATATATATAACTGATACGGTCTATCAAGTGTAGACAGCATTAATTTTCTATTATAAAAATAAAAAATAAGCTATCTCGAATTCGTTTAATCACTGCCGAAATACAACGTCAAGTGTTATAAGAGAAACGCAAGGTATTGAAATGAATAAATAATTAATTTAAATATTTCATCAATGGTATATAAAAATTCGATACCTCACGAGATACAAAAGCTTCCTAATGGAGGCTTTTGTATCTCGTGATTATTTGCAATGTGACTGTACGTATTTTGGTACTTTGGTACAGCTCCGTGCCTCACCGGCATGTCTGAGCACCATGCCATACAGCATGCAGATGACTGCATGAGCATAGGTTGATTGGACAGATCATTCTAATGATCAAAGTTTTAAAATTTGTTCCAATTTGATCTTGTATCAAATAATCGATAACATAATAGTGCTGCTAATTGGACTTGTGTGCTTGAATTGCAATGGGTTGATTTCAACATATGGACCTTAACAGTTTAAGGAAGGAAAAAGGATGCTTCTTGTAAAACGTTGAATTCAAATCTGATCTTTTTTTAAATTAGGAAATATGCATAGAGTACTGCCATACAACATTAATTTGCTTCTTTACAAATATGAAACTTATCGCGTGCAATAAGGAACATTGTTTTTAAACTATTGGAATGCATTTATCCCACATTCTAAGTATATTTTTCCTGACAAGCGTCTTTTCTTGTAATTAAAAAACAATAGAATTTTTGAGGCGTCAAAGAAATTTAAGCTTTGTGATTTCCCAATAACTGTGTTTCTAAACACTTTCATTGTTAAATTATAGATAATTTGATATGATGAATGTCTCTACTTGAACAAAGTTCGTCCAATTGTCAGTATTATCGTCGTTATCTGTTTCCATTGTTTCACTTTTTTATTTCATATGCAGGGAATGATGAAACGATTAAAATCAATATAATTTTCTATTTTATTTTATTTATTTAATATATTGTTTAAATACCGAATTCACACCGAACTATCGACTTATTTTGTACTATTTTCAACGATAAACGTATTGAAACGATAATAAATTGTGATATATGTTTTTTCGGAATAGTTCGACTTCAAAGTAAAAAGTTAAACAGCTTTAATACTTATTCTCTAGCGGATAAAATGTGTAGAATTTGTAGAGACGTTATAACTGCTGATAAAAAGAATTTTTTAATGGCAAGCAACTACTCCATTAGAAATAATAAGTAAATAAATTCATGCTGTTGAATTTCTTCAATAATTAATTATATGTATTTTTAGAAAGAATTCGATAGTAACAATAACTTCTGAATCTCTCATTCATTTAAACTTTTATATTTCTTTCCTATCCTCCTTCTCTTTTACATCCCTTCTGGAACACTGTCCATACCATCAATACATTTATTTCTTATTTTCACATTCACCTTATCATCATTTGTCCTTTCTTACTGTATCATCACTCGTTATCTCCATGTCTTCATCATCTTGCTTATTTTATTGCTCTTTCTGTCATTCCATCTTGCTTATTTTACTGCTATTTCTGTCATTCAATCTTGCTATTTATTCCCACAGTGATTCTTTCTGTGATGTGTTTCATTGCACAACAAACACTTTTTTAAAACAGGACACTTATTACCAGATTTTCCACATAGTTGGGGATGAAATCCGGGACAATCACAGAAAACCGAGACATCTAGCAACTGTATAAATTATGTCCCACATTAAACACCTTGAGACACTGCAACTTACTCCTGGATATTTTATATTGATTATTTTCTCTGCTACCTTAAACAAATTTTATATCTCTGTTAGTTGTAATCAAAATTACTCTTCTTTCAATCCTTCATAAAATTCAGCATTATAGAACCTTATTGTTTTAGTTCCCTCATCGTTTGCTTTACCTCTTCCACAGTCATCTGAGGAAGAGTTCCCAGGCAAGTGAGTTACTTCGACTCGTTTAACTAAGTTTTTTTTATTTACTTTTCTAATAATACTGTACTTATCTTCAAGCTTCTTCGTCGTTGCCTCTTATAATCCTTCAGCTTAACGCCTCATCCACACAGCTGAAAGCAGAACTTTCAAAGTAAGATCCTTCGAATAACTCGAAATGAATTTTTTAATGGGAAACAACTATTTCTTTTGTTATTAAACTCATTTTCCTTTCTTCCTTTCGGGAACTGCACCAATCCAACACCAATCCGCTCTCCGAACCAGATGATCTGAGTGTATTCGAATATCTCTATACAACAGGAAACAAGCCAATTCGAGTACCAATACCGCTATCTTTAACAAAATTTAACAGCATCAATCTACCTAACATACAAAACCTCCCTGCAAACTTTCAGAAAATTCCAACGAAAAGCATAAGAGTTATTAAGCTTCAAACAGGGTAAAGAAAATCGTACCCCCCCTACACGCTAACATCCATACATACAGAAATTACCCCGGAATTTCTTTGCATTTCTCGACGTTTCAAGGTGCCCTGAGTTCAAAAATGTAAAAAAAAAAGAAAGGACCGATCGTTATACAGTATAGAGCAGAGAAAGATAGCATAGTAACAGAGCAGAGAAAGTAATAATAATAGTAAACAGATTACAATATGCAAAGTATCAGGATGGTAATCATGTATAAACAGAGTGTTTGTGGCACCCGTGGCACAAAAATTTTATGGCACGGGTGCCACAAACACTCTGTTTATACATGATTTTCAGTTCCATAAGTGTAGTGTTATAGGTGTATTTATACAGTTGAAGCATCTTTCTGTTACACAGCATGTATGCTTATTAATCAGTATTTTTAAATCTAAATAAAAAAAATATTAATAATTCTACACGTGTATCTAAAGTCTAATAAATAAATAAATATGATTAATTAAGTTATTTATTTATTTTTATTTAATTATCTGCACGAAACATTACGCAAAAAGGAAAATTCCGATCGCTATCTAATCAAAAGCGAACAATTTAAATTTCAAAGCATCCACATCAATAAACAATGCAATCGTAACTTTCGGTACAACTGGTACAAATTGAATTAATCGGTTTATATTAAATTAATAAACAATCGTTTAATTCAGCATCATGTAAGTTAACTAATTCAATTTATTAATTTAAATAATTTTATTTAATTAATAAATCTAATTCTTGGTTAAGAGTAGAAGATTTCCGTAATTATAAAGTTGAAGTGAAGAAGTAAACAAAACTACTATACACTCGGTCGTAGGTTCGAGCCTCACACTAACGGGCGTAACCATAAGGCACCCCCCTCTTTGCATGATCGCCCACACGTTGCATTGCCTTATTTCTATTAAAGTAATCCAATGTAATTTAAATCAACAAAAGAACAAAGTTAAATGGTAGTTTAAATTGTTATACTTAAACAATACATTTTAACAATTAGAAAAGTAACGGTAGTTTGGACTTTTTATGGTTCAAAAACAATTTGAAGGATGGATTTAACGCTCGGATGCCTTCCCGAAGACGATAGCGATAGCATAGAGGAGGAAGAACATAATATACATATTATTGTTAATAAATTTCAATTAGATCAACAATTAGAAAACGCTAAGAATAAAATTGTGCTGATCTATTTTTTTGCATATTGGTGCGGTCTTAGCATGGGAATGGATGAAGTTATCGAGGATTTGGCAGACAATTATCGAGATAAATTACACGTATTGAAAATTGACGCGTCAAAACATAGAGAAATAGCAAAAGAATACAAGATTAAATACGTTCCCACGTTTATATTCGTTTTTAATGGAAAAAATATCGAGGAATTTGAAGGAGCGGATCAAGATGTAATTCGAGAATTACTGGAAAGGAATTTATCTTATTTAGAACTTTAACGTACTACGTCGTTTACGATATAATGTTTAACTGATTAAATAAAAAACATAATAAAATAAACGATAATATTATTTGTTTATTATTCAGTCTCCTATGCTGAAATATAACCTTGGATGTGCGAACTTGATAACTAAGATAATATTACGTATTTACAATCGGGTGTATTAATATAATAACCATTATTTAAATATGCAAATGTTTTTTTTTATGTTTCTAAATAGGGGAACTTTGATAAAGAATACAGCAAACCGGAAGAAACCGGCTTATATAAATTGCGACGGTGTTATAGTGAAAGCGGTGTATTCTCCGGATGCAGTTCGATCAGCAATGAATTACCATCATCGTCCAGGAGATCTTTTCATTGTAACTTATCCGAAATGCGGTACCACGTGGATGCAACACATCGTTATGTTAATTTTACGAAACGGAAAACCCATAAATGATCCATTGGAGTTTTTCTTTAGAACACCTTCTATTGAAATGTGTGGAGCGGATGCTATTGATCTCATGCCCGGTCCGGGAGTTATTAAAACACATCTTCCTATGGAAAAAATGAAGATGAATCCAAAAGCAAAGTACATCTTTGTCGCTCGAAATCCTAGGGATTGTTGCGTATCTCTTTACTACCAAAATAAGAATTTTCCTTTTTATAAATTCGAGGATGGTACTTTTGACGAATTTTTTGAGTTATTTATTGAAGGTAATGTAGATTACGGAGATTACTTCGATCATTTGCTTCCTTGGTATAATAGGAGACACGATGACAATGTATATTTTACCACTTTTGAGAGAATGAAAAAGAATATTAAAGAAGAAGTCTTAAACATTGCAGAATTTATTGATAAAAAACAAAGAGAAAAATTAGAGAATGATCCGAAATTGCTCGATGATATTTTATATTACAGTAGCTTAGATTATATGAAAAATCATTCGAATTTTAAAGGCCTCATACAAAAACTTTCAGATCACATCAAACGGGGGGAAACTATTTCATCGGGATTAAAGGCTTTCTACGAAAATTTACGTAACGAAAGCAAGAACAAAACTGCAAAAGGACAATTTATTAGAAAAGGAATTATTGGAGATTGGAAAAATCATTTCACTCCCGAACAAGAAAGAATATTTCAAGAAAATATTCAAATGAAAACATGTAATAGCGATGTTATGGATCTGTGGAAGGAATGAGAATGCTTGAAAATTTAATAACAATACAAAAATGTTGTTTACATTTATTAAAATACTTTGCTTATGATATAAATTTCCTTATAAATGCATACTTTGAATATACGACAAATATATTTTTGTTGTTTTATTAATAATAAATACTACAGATGTAAATGATTATTGTATTTATATATTGACTGTGCATTATGTAATGTAACAATTATTATTTAATGAACAAAGAAAATGTCGAATACGTATAACAGTATGATTTTTATTAATTTATTCATCCATTCTGTGTTATTTTTTGTAAATATATTATAACTTGTGATATAATAAAAGTGTATTAAATAAAATTTATTCTAGCTAAAGAATTTCTCTACGGTTAATAAAACATAATTAATATTTTTGTTCTCAATATTTATTAATTATTCAGATGTTTTAATTGTAAATAAATTTTATACACACGATATATTAATAATTACACACTTATTCTAGAAAATTTTACAGAGCAAACCTTCCCAAAAGGATTGATCTTGACCCCTGAAGGGACGATGAACCCTGTACAGAGGGATGGACGGATGGTCGTGTGGTTAAGGTGTCTAGAGATCCTTTGAATAGAAAATCCCACTAATTTTATATTCTAAACACTACATTGTTTATATAATTATGAGTTTACAACATTACTACAACAAATGCTTGGACTTCTAGGCCTTCATTTTGGCTTAACTATCACGATAGAGACCGAAAATGCACTTACGATTTTCAAACTGCAAGTCATATACAGTATATTTTAAATTTTAATAAATGAAGAAATTTATGTAGTTATTAGGGGAGACCGGGGCAAGATCGGCATGTTAAGCTTTACTTAAATTTTGTGTAATAAATACTGCTGTAAACTGAAAAAAAAGCTTTGCATATTGTCTATTGGAATGTTACCTTACTATAGAACTGGTTAAAATCAGTTTGGAAATAAAAATAATTAAAATAATTACAACTTTACAAGAAGAGAGAAATTGACGAAGTTGCCCCGGGTATAGGGGCAAGATCGGCAACTTCTCTCTTTTTGTAAAGTTGTAATTATTTTAATTATTTTTATTAAAGTTGCCCCTGGTATAGGGGCAACAGTAATGGGGCAAGATAGGCACGTATATAAAATTATGTTATTAACAATGTATAAGTTGGAATTCACTATTAAAACAAAGAAATACAAATCCAACACCCATTTAATATTATTACAACGAAATGCAAGTTCAAAGACATATATACATGAATAACAAATGCAAACATGTTTTCATTTATCATCTGTTTGATTTTTATCCTTTGCTTCTAATGTGGCTTTATGTTGCCGATCTTACCCCGCTAGTCATGATTTCGAAACATTAAGTACAACCCTGAGAACAGAATGCCAAGCCACGATCTGGCCACGTGAATAAGTTGAAGTTACATCCTTCTAACAGGAAAAGTAACTTTCGTTATCATGGAATTATAACAAAACCTGCCAATTCAATATAAATGGAAAAAAAATATTATATGGAATTCAACGAAAATGAAAATTTGCTTGATAATTTAACTACTGTTGGAGAACAATAAAAACACTACACTCAACAAGCCAACAATAAAACTCAACTGCCTAACCTATAACCAAAGTCTCCTTTTAATTTGTTTTTTAAAAAAAGCGCTTGACAAACTTGCCCCGCATGCCGAAGTTTCCCCGGTCTCCCCTATACAAGTTTAATTTATTTGAAATTACTTCATAGGTATATCATAACGGCAAAAGTAAAGTACAATCAAATAAATATTTATTTATTCACGATAAGATAATTACAGAGTACAGAAAGTGCATACTAATGTCCAGATAGATAAGAACGGTGCGATGATAATACTATATAATTTAGGAATTTAAACATCATTATTTGTTAATTTGTTTATCATTAATCCCACAATTTCATTACATCGCTTCCTTTAGTCCTTTCTTTAATTCTTTCTTCTAATCGCTCCTCCTGTTCCTTACTGAAATAGTTACGCCAATCTCCTATTATACCTTTTCTAACGAATTTGTCATTACCCGCTTTACTAGCTGGTATATTTGGCACATTTTTCGAGAATTCGGCAATATGTTTCCATCCAGAAGATACTTTATCAGGATTTTCTCTTATGTAACCATTCATTGCTGCAAAATACTTATTAACGCCTTGTATTGCAATGGATCGTTTGAACAGGTAGGAGGGGTAGGAATGATGGTTTTAGGTAAAATTTTGTGTGTATCCCTCCCCCTTAGAGTCTTAAATCTAAGTCAAGAATGTGCGCTTTCCTATCATTAGTGTTGTCGAGTATTACCTTGAACCTGAAAGGATTTTCTTGGCGAATTTTTCAATATCTGATTTGATAAAATACTAAAAAAGTAATTTTATCTCTCACTTCTCAGCCAAGGTGAACCTATAACATTTCAAAAGCAGACATTTCCTGCAGGTGCAAATAACTGCAGGATAATATTAATAGTACCCCTAATAAATTTTGACACTGATATNGCTTCTTTCATTATTCTCAATCCGTTGCTAGGAACTGATCATACAAAGATTAAAATTAATAAAAATTAAAAGTACAATAATTCACGGTTAAACCATGAATAGTAATACAATTGGAAGGATTAAAACAATTATTTCCTCTAAACATCAAAACGAACATTTAAAAGAAGAACAAATAGATAAAATGATTTTATATAATCCTTTCACTTATATGACAAGTATTATACGTAATTATTATCACAAAATGTAGTACAAGAATCTAACATTTTCAGCCCTCTAATGTAATAATATTTTTCTTCACAAAAATAAAAAGTAACGTGTGACGAAAAGATAAGCTCATACTATAAAATATCACAGTTGAATATATTTGTAAGAATCTCTTGCACAACTCGATTCAAAGGTGCGATAATCTTAAAGTATTTCTTCCCATGAATTAATAATTGCCATCTGTTGTTATAAATTGCTTTCTGTCGTTGTACACTTTACAAGAAAGCAATCACTAAAGATTTTCTATAAGATTTATATCAGGAAATAATGCAAGAGTCTGAAAACATTTAATTTTCTTTTCGTTAACTCAAACCGATTTTTCCGGTGTGTATTTCTGCACTGTCGTGACAAAACTGCCATTTAGAGCCTACGATTAATCGTTCAAACTGTGGAAAATACTTCTTTAATAACTAAATGCATCATTCATCATTGTGATGACCAGTAATAATTTCTAGATCACTCTTCTTGTATCCCGTTGACCCTATATCATAACTGATCCCCCTCTCATTTGTCTTCTAGACAAATTTTTTTTCTTTCTTCCCTAAGTCGCGAAAATAATAATCAATGCCATCTGGCCATCTAGGTTAATTTTTTTCATTGTTCAATGTAAATATTTTGCGACTGAGTGGTGTATGATGTGTTGTCTGGGAAGTTCCAAACGTGCATCCTTGTGCCTTGGATTGCACTTGATTTTCTTTATACCGAAGTTGGAATTGGACTTCAATAGTCTGGACATTACTAACATTGATTACCACACCTGTTTCAGCATCTATTTTTCGAGCAGACCTTTATGGATTAGATGCACATTCAGGGGCGGATCTAGGTTTTTCGGGGCCTAGGGTTTATTGAAGTTTAATAGGACCCAATTATTACCACTTATACCAAACTTAACCTATTAACTAAAGATTTACCGATAAGCAAAAGGACCGATTACCGATTACCGATTAATCGGCAGTGCATTATCGGCCGATACCGATTAACCGGCCGATTAGTGTTAAAAATTTAGTGTGAGATCCTTGAGTTAATTATACAGTTAATTATAATGTGAAAAAAAATCATTTTCTCAGCCTGGTACAGTGCTACCTCGGTATTACTCTGCTTTAGAATACGTCCAAATCGGAAAACGTTCTGTTTGGACGAAACAAAGTTTGCTCGGTATACGACTTTTGTTCGGTATACGACTTAATTCAATTATACGCGCCATCTTTGAACGAGTAGCACTATCGGTGTACTAGACCAGACTAGATGTTCGCGGTGCCACGGTTTATAACTTTGTTCAATTTTTTCTGATTTTAATTCGTAAATAAAATTTTAATATTTTTTAATTAATCATGAATCGCAAAAAGGCAANATCGCCGAATTCCACTTCGCCTTTCAAAAATACTTCAAAGAAATCATCGAATGTCGCATCTTTATAAAAATAAAATGCAAATTCTTTTGTATGATTGTAAAGTGATACGCAACAATCTTTGGGATTTCTTGCAACGTAAATATATTTAGCGTGTGGATAAAATGGCGTTAAATGAAAAGGCAAATGTAGCTTTATGGCTCCTTTTGACGTCATGAGATCTACACTATCGGCACCTGACCTTTCGAGAGACGGAGTACTTATAAAAAAATCTAAAGCATTTTCGAACGGTTTTCCTTTTCTTAGAATTAGCATGACGATGTGTTGCATCCACGTAGTTCCACATTTTGGGTACGTAACTATAAACAGATCGTTCGGTTTGGGTTTATAATTAATAGCGGATAAGCACGCTTCTTCAGAAAAAACTCCTGGAACTTTCATTCCACTTACTTCTTTATAAAATGGAACTATTTTCTCTGTCATCTTGCTTTATCCAAAAGTAAAAACTGTAATTATAAAATATTACGGTTATATATATATATCACAAAATTAAATAAGTAAAATTAGTGAGAAATAAATAAAGTCATAGTTTAACGCGCCACTGACCGCACCCCCGTCATTACAGTGTATTTGCGCACACACGCTGTCACGATTAAATTCTACATTTTATCATGCTTATCGCATTCCGTTATGTTCCTAAAATATCATTGAAATATATTTTCAAAGAACTTAAATATGTCCTCAAAGTTTTAGCCTTCTATCCTTAGTGTAAGTCCAATAGCTTCGGACAGGTCTACAATGAGGTAGCCAGGTAGCCATTGTAGGTTGTCACATTGATCTTTCTGCCATCCGGCTGACCAGCCTCCTGTCTTAATTAG